CTGTAGTTGTTATATATCTACCAGGTAGTTAATTATTGTCTGTAGTTGTTATATATCTACCAGGTAGTTAATTATGGTCTGTAGTTGTTATATATGTACTTGGTAGTTAATTATGGTATGTAGCGATTATATATCTACCAGCTAGTTAATTATGGCCTGTAGCTGTTATATATCTACCAGGTAGTTAATTATGGCCTGTAGCTGTTATATATCTACCATGTAGTTAATTATGGTCTGTAGTTGTTATATATCTACCATGTAGTTAATTATGGTCTTAGTTGTTATATATCTACCAGGTAGTTAATTATGGCCTGTAGCTGTTATATATCTACCATGTAGTTAATTATGGTCTGTAGTTGTTATATATCTACCATGTAGTTAATTATGGTCTGTAGTTGTTATATATCTACCAGGTAGTTAATTATGGTCTGTAGCTGTTATATATCTACCAGGTTGTTAATCATGGTCTGTAGTCGTTATATATCTACGAGGTAGTTAATTATGGTCTGTAGTTGTTATATATGTACTTGGTAGTTAATTATGGTCTGTAGCTGTTCTGTATCTACCGGGTAGTTAATTATGGTCTGTAGCTGTTATATATCTACCAGGTTGTTAATCATGGTCTGTAGCCGTTATATATCTACCAGGTAGTTAATTATGGTCTGTAGTTGTTATATATCTACCAGGTAGTTAATTATGGTATGTAGCGGTTATATATCTACCAGGTAGTTAATTATGGTCTGTAGCTGTTATATATCTACCAGGTTGTTAATCATGGTCTGTAGCCGTTATATATCTACCAGGTAGTTAATTATGGTCTGTAGCTGTTATATATCTACCAGGTAGTTAATTATGGTCTGTAGCGGTTATATATCTACCAGGTAGTTAATTATGGTCTGTAGTCATTATATATCTACCAGGTAGTTAATTATGGTCTGAGTTGTTATATATGTACTTGGTAGTTAATTATGGTCTGTAGCTGTTATATCTACCAGGTAGTTAATTATGGT